AGGGGGGGGGGGGGAGGGGGGTAATTAATCATTATCTGCTTTTCTTCAGAAATGTCTCACTGAAAAGCAGCTATCCCCTTGATAATGAGATTGACTGTTAAGTCCCAGTATTGCATTTAATCTGAATACGCTAGCATTTAGCATTCCTACTCATGTATTTTGCTCTGAAGAGAAAGCCATTTTTTCCACCACTCACTTCTGAAAGAAAAGGAAAAAAAAACAACTTAAAAGTAGTTAAACCAATATACTGAATAAGCCCCATCAGCCTAATAGACCAATAATAAAGACAGAAAAAGAAAAAACATAGCTTGGATATAGCATAAGCTAAATTTATTTTATAAAAATTTGTATTTGAGCACAAATATGTACTATCTCCTAGATCCATGGAAATCCTACAATTGTCCCGGCAATTTTACACAACAGTCTTGACTTTTCTGCAGAAAACAACAAATGTTTTAGCTGATCAGAAGTCACATCATGTTAAATAGCCATCCACACAAGTCCTTTAGAAGAGTGTCCAATTATTTCTTAGCATAAGTGATTTTCATGGCATGAGATGGAGTAATCTTGAATCCTTGTAGAGCATCTCGAGCAGCTCCTGCCTGTCCCTCATTTTCAAACTCCACAAATGCAATGTCATGACGCCCAGGCACTAAACGTACTTCTTTGAATCCAGGAAACCTTTAAAAATACATTGAAGGAATCAGATAACATTCCCTGATTAAGTAATACATCTCTCTTCAGTAGCCATAAGACCTTTTCATAAGCATCTACTACTATTATAGTTACCGCTAATATAAAATGCCTCTGCTAAATCTTTATGTCTAGTCCTGGGAACTACTCCTCAGTTAAGGATCATTAAGTGGCAGTAATTTTATCAGTCTTTGCATATATGGAAGCAACTTAAAACTGTTACTGCTTTCATAAAATCTTTAATATTAAAGAGTCACCCGCTTAAACCTGGCCCAGACTGATAGCCGATAACCTATGCAATCAAAACCAGCTACGAAAAAATCGTATTTGCTTTTTGCACCAAGTAGTCATCAGAACCAACATCTGTAGTCTTGGCAGCAAGACAAAGAACTGAGTATCTTGAGAAGAAACTGTTATCCCTAAAAATCAACTAGTCAGCTGAGAAAAAAAGGCATATACATCACAAAAGGGTTCAAAGGCAAAGTCTTTTTTTATCCAAAACTTACTGATTGAATAACATGGACAGCATCATCTCATTTGTTTCCTCAGGCAAGTTATTAAGGAAGAGGATATAGTTTGGTGGGTTATCAGGCACCTGCAACAAAAGAACAAAGCTCAGAAGATTATACACAGCTATGGCTTCCTTTCTGTCTATCTGCAATATTATTTGAACTAAAATTCACATATTCTTAGTTTTGCTCATCATGTTGCTAGCTGGACTTATGTTTGTGCAAAACCCAGGCCTAGCTCCCTGGCTGTATTATAATCCATCTTCATTTGCAGAAATCTCTATTTCCACATCAATCATGGTAATATGTTGTCTCAAATGACTTATTTCTAAGCTTGACAGCTCAACAGCTGATACTGCAGTACTGCACTGCTCTGAATCCCAGCAGCACCAGTGCGGGGAGTCAGGTGCTTAAGCACTGGCTGTAGGACCATTTTAGATTCCACAGATTCTCCAAGACAGGGCAGCCAATAAAGAACCTATAGAAGACAGGTGCCTTCCCAGAAAGACATTTGGAAGCCAAGATAAATACTGTATTCATCTACAGCGGTACCGAAATAACCTATCTTCGGGCAACTGAAACCATACCACAGATCTGGCTTTGTTACAGTGCTCCTATCAAATCTACTGACTGGAATCCCATTACAATTTAAGCTTTGAAAATGTTTATCTCACAGATTTACCAGCTAGTACTGATTTGTGCCAACCCACCAGACATAAGGCTGCATAGCCAGTTTGCTGACACTGGACTGAAAGGCCAGTACCTTCCTAACTTCTAAAGGAGATGTAAATTAAAAAAAAAACAAACAAAAACAAAAACCAAAAACAGAAAACTGGACACAACTTCAAGCATCATCCTAATACTGAGGCCAAGTAACCTAATGCATCAGCAGAACAACTTCCTTTAACTGATGAAAATATTCCAGGCAGTGCCTTTAGAAAATGATCTTCCAATGGAATAGTTTGAACAAGTACCTAAATAATCAGTGCTGTGCTTTGATGGAAACTGACACACATATACTGTGCTATGTTACATGTGATATTTGGAAAAAAACGCAGATGGGGAACAAGCCATTTTCCCTGTGTTTTATGTACACAATTCTCAATCTCAAGGGTTAAGAAATACAGGCCAAAGATATCCTTTTAAGATATCTGCCCATCTACAAATCCTGGCTCTTTAGGAACTCCCCTTCTAACATAAACCAGTCATTTAGAAAGCCATTGAGCAGCCAAGATGAGGGGAGCGTAGCAAGTTGTGGACACATCTCCATACAATCTTTTAGAAAATAGAACATTTACAAGAAAAAGTGAACCAAGTTCCGCTGAACCTCCAGAAGAAAGCTTTTACACAAATGTTCCAGTACCTTGTTTATTCTTCCTTTCCCTTTTCTACTACTAGAACAAAAGAAATAAGTTAGAGGGACTTTAATAAAGTCTGAGAATCCTTCAGCTGATACTAAGTACAGACCAAATTTAAGAATCAAGTAGGATCTGTTGACAGGATAGGGCTTTGTATAGCACAGAAATTACATATTCTAATTTCATGTCAGATAAAACAAATTCCTGTTTCTACTGTAAGCTTATTGTGCTTTACCTGTGAGACAAAGGCTTCAAAAAAAAAAAAAAAAGCTGTAAAACATATCTTCTAGATTCCACACACAAAGTCATTCATGCAGAATAATTTTAAGAACTTGTGCTTTTGGTAACAAAGGGGTTAAAAAAAAGCATTACCTGCTGATTCTGTGACGAAGTCCCTTGGGCATTGGCCGAGTTTTGTGTTGCTCCCTAGTAAATAAGTATAGAGTAGTTTTACAAAAGTATTCAGTCAGAAATATAAAAACCCACATGAGCCTGTTTTTACACAACTGAAGCAGCAAATGGGAAGTTTAATTGTAGTTGAAGAAACATTTGTGGTTTATGAAATACTTCCTGTTGGGAAACAAAGCCTATGGATTTCGCTGAACTCCAAAGCCCAACAACAAAAGAAAAATACAAAAAACCCAAACCAACCCAACACACACCACCAATAGTATCAGATCTGACTAGCGGTGGAGTCAGCCAATGGAGCAAATCACTATTTCTCACAGTATGAATCTGGGTTCAGGAGATAGGAAGGAAGTAGCTTTTTAAAATGAAGGTCTAAACAGAACACATACAAGAAAAACAGATGTTTCCACTGAGGACTCCAGCTTAGCAGGAATAACTAAACCTACTGCCATTAAAACTCTTAGCAGTCCCTTCTTTCCTACCAGATTTGTATAGCCATTGACCACGAATAAGTCCTGAGAAAACTGAATACTCTGCCTAGAAAACATGACTCTCCCTTAAACTTAGATAACTACTATTTCTACCAAGACTCACATAACATTCAAACTCCTGTGCCTTGGTATGTTCTACTACACTTTAGCACATAAGTTATTAAGCTTTGTTAAATTAGGCCAGGCCAACGCCTAAACGAGATGTAGTTACTTGAAAAGGTGTTGAGCAAAAATAAATGGACTGTCTTGTTACCATTTACCATTCCACAGTGCTTATACATCAAATGGTGCATTTACACAATGAAGCTGGTTGAGCTCTTTAAGATGGCATTAAAGAGAGCAACTTCTCCCAACCTCGCCAAAGAGGTTGGCTTCTACTTCAGTTTATTGTTCCTCCACCAATCTTTATTTTCATCTGAATACAGCAAAAAAAGGACAAGCAATACGTGATCACCTCCTCTATTTCAACTTCTACTAAGCGCTCAAAATCACTAGCTGTCAAAAGACCACAATTCAGGAAACTAAGAAGTACTAAAAGACAACATTTAGTGCTACGTAAGATTAAAAATAGCTTTTGTAGGTTTTATTTTTCTTAACTACAGAAGCAGCTTACCTGTAGAATCTTTTTATTTGCTGCATTTGCTGCCTGCTCCAGAGATTTGGCCTTCTTCTTTTCTTTCCTTTTTTCCTTATCAGCAAATGTACCACGCATTTTAGAGATTATATCAGAGTCCGTTTTTGCATACTGAATACGCTTTTTAAAAAGAAAGAGGTACGTTTTGCAATTCATTGTACTAAACATTTTGCACGAACTTCACTGTGTTCTACTGCAGAATTACGCAAATATCTCCTCTAGGAATTTCTTTATATTAAGAATACTGTTGTGCTAAACTGCAGATACACTTAAAGAATATCTAATCCTCTTAATTAACTCTTAGCACAACTACAGAACTGTAAAAACAGCAGGATGGACCATTCATTAAAAGAAATTACTCATTTTAACTCACATTGAAACCTGAACTCTAATCAGTTAACAGCATCTTTTTATTATGCCTGTCAAGACAGCAGATGAACAAAGCTACATAACTAGGGTTTACCAAATTGGCACTAGCTTCTACTAAGAAGGAAAAAAAAAAAAACACACACACAAAAACAAAAAACACCCCCACATCAACAAACACACAAATGTAAAGGCTTAACCATTCCTATGGGGGTTAAGATTTTACAGTGATTTCTCAGATCACTATAGAAAACTGAGCTCAGCAAAACCTGACCTTCTTGAATACAAAATTAAGCCAAGTACCTGCCTTAAATCCAAATGGGATTGCATAAACTGTCAACAGCACAACACTGCTTTTCCTGACAAAGGCTGACCAGTGCACCCATCAAGATGTGGATTCAGCAACAAGTACACAAACATATAACATTATATAGACATACACACACATGTACAATGCTATCACTTCTATCATCAGAGACCATCTCTCCAAATACAGAAAAACTTCACAGCAGAGAGAGTTTCCTGTGCGCGTGTTTGTCTAGTGGTAGATGGAGCAAGTATGCTGCAGGCAATATTCAGAGAGGGAAGAGGTACACTGGAAAGCTTATGAAGCCTTAATCTTTTTTATTTCCTTTTGAGTTTTACTGAGCACAAAATTCTTTAAGGGCAAGTGACAGAACAGAGATTGCAGAATTTCTTGTTAGGATTTCTGCTAGAGAATCTGAGGGTGTTAACGAAATAAGTTTGTGGGCTCAGCAACACAAGAACTGCTTGTGTTCTCCTTAACGCTCAAAGTCTTGACCTGAAAGCCAGTAATATATCCATTTATCACTGAAGCTGCATGGGCCATTTGCATGCATCATTATACTGAAATTCAGTCATTTGTGTTTACTAATTCAATGCATGAATGAGTAAAAATTATTTAATTTGAAGAAAATCACCACAATCATCTCTCTTGATTTACAGGGAGTAAACCATTAAGAGATCTTCATCCTTCTGACTGTTGCCTACAAAAGGAAGTACCGTATTTTAAATATTTACTATGAATACCTACAGTAACCTTATAGATTCAAGTGAAAGCACCTAATTTCAAGAACATCACAAAATCTGTGCAACAGAAGACATGATGGGTGAGGAGGAAGTACTTTAGAGCTTGAGGATTTTAATCCAGCAAAGAAAAAAACAATTTTTCTCATTTAGAGAACCTAAGAGCTAAATTCAATTCACTGTGTTCTTAACGAGAGTCTATCCGAACAGTATCCCTCAAGCTTGCATAAACGTATGCATTCATCAAGATAGGGCATCACTAAAACCAGACAATAGTTACAAGCATGTGACAGTTAACTTACAAGGTGCAAAAATACAAAGTATTGATGTGAATTCCAAGTACCAAAACCCTACATCATACCATGGCAAGTTTATTTTCAAGTCTAATAGCCTCCCCACACACACACTTACCATCGGTTTCCCATAAAATGGGAAGCCTTGCAGCTGTCTTAGAGCATTGGTGGATGATCCAAGCTCCTTGAATATAACAAAAGCCTGTCCTCTCATCTTCATGGTCTTTAAAGCCACAATGTCTACTACATGACCAAACTGTGAGAATAATGCATACAAGGACCTCTTCAGCTCTGTTGAGGGTATGGAAAAACACATTTATTATCATAGGTTATATGCAAATGCTCAGTTTTATAAAGTTTGTTGTTCTCTAGGGACAGTACTTTTTGCTACTTTTAGCTGAAGTAGTAATCTGTTACATTAGTTTAGCCAAAGTTGTTGCATGAGCCCAAGTTCATTTGCTCAGTTTTCATAATGCAAAACCAAGTGTTATATGCCAACTTACAAGTATTCAACTAGCAAAAAAGTCGTACCTCCATCCATTTTACCATTCTAAGGGAGTATAAATTATGCAAGGATTAATGTATACGTGAAGTATTATGCATTACAGCCATCAAATACTGAGTAGTATACAATGCCATAACACATGGCAGTAAAGTAGTACGACGTAAAGAAAATACTGTAAATTAGTAATTAATCAAAATAAACATAAGGCAAGTTAAAGTTTGAAATCAGACTGTTGCAAACAAAATTTCATTCTTTCAAGCATATTGAAATATTTTTTTCATATTCTAGATTGGAATATGTTTTCACATAATCACACTATCCCTTACAGTTGCTACAGATTTATTTTCATGATAAAAAAAATCATCTGACTCCACATCAAGTTAAACCTTAATCTTATCCAGTTAACATAAATAAATCCCAAATCCTCTGTAGTGCATTCAAACTTAATATTTCTTATGTTATTCAATTCTTTTATTTGAAGTATTTCTGCTGACTTTTGTTTATTGCTGTTAAGACTCATTAGTACCAGCCCACTGTCACTTTTCCCAACTGTTCTTGATCAGCTACAGCTCTGTATAAGATCAGAATCAACAGGAAACCAATCAAGGGAACTTGTGAAGGAAGTTGCCTTACAAAGCAATGAATGCAGAAGAAGCTTCAGATGTGAATAAGGGAAAAATAAAAGTTTTCATATCAAACATTAAGAAAAATAACTTCAAAAGACGTACTAGAAATCTGGTTTGTAAGCCTGATATTATTGGCAACTTGCAATTCTACATTTTAAAAATAACCAGGCACTTATTAGTTCATAGTACATAACATGCTATAAGAGAACCACTAAGTTTAATTTACTGAGTGGAACAATCTTGACAAATCGATAGTGTACTGGCAAAGTTATTCCTACTTTCAGATCACTCTCTGAAATACCCAAAAGAAATGTTTAAGCAAGGCTAGTGTCTGATCCAGCAACCCACTGTTCACAAACAGTATTAAATTATCTTTATCCCTTTTAGATTAAGAATTATGCATAAACATTGAAAAGGAGAGCCAGATGGTCCCACACAGACATTGAGTACACAACCAGATAAGAACAAGTGATCTTATTAGCACATCGTGAGGAGCTAAAAACCCTCAACAAGAAATTATCACTCTCTAAAGAGGACCTCAGTAACCGCATACATACATCAAGTCTCCAGTACAATGAAGGGAAACAAGTTAGCTTATGCCACTTTCAGTGATTTTCTAAGGCATTAAATTGAAAAACAAGCATACAGATATTTCCACTTTCAGTGAATGGGACCACCTGAACATACACAAACATGCCTGTTAGGAGTAACCTATCAGAATATTAGATGACTACTATGATTACACTTATTTAAGGATAAACAAGCTTAATCTGTAAGATTAGCTGTACAACTACAGTATACAAGCAATCAGAAGCTTCCTTAAAAATAAATAAGAACTCCAGCTTGTGGAAAAACTTGCGCATGGTCCAAGGCTGGCTAACTTTAGCTACTTCTTCATGAAAAAGATTTGACAGCTGAGAACTTGGTTCATGATCACCACTTGCAGTACATTACTAGACAGCTTAGAGGATCTTTGAGGGTGAGATGCTACCAAAACATAAGCTTTTGAGCTTAGGCTCCAGAGCAGTAAAAACTGCAGGCCAGTATAAGCTTGACCTTTTATATATGAGAATTTTATATGCGACGGCTTTCTACTAAACATAAGAGTCACAGACATTCATACCTTCTTTTTTAATCTTGTCATTTATATTGTTGATGTAAATCGTATGGTTTGGCCGGATATCCATCCTCCAACTCGCTTACACACCTGCCTGCAAACAGAGCACACGCATCGCAACGTTATAACGGATGAAGGCTCGCCCCGGCAAAGGAGGCGCCGCCAGCCCCGCGGACGCCCCACAACCCAGGAGCTGGTTAACTAGCGCGGAAAGCGCAGCGGCAGCGCGCCGGGCCCCACCGCCCGCCCCCCTCCCCGGCCGTTTAACAGCGCTCCCGCACCTACCGCAGCGCCGCGACGCCCC